CCCTCTCAATCTCTTCTTACCGTGAGGAAGTGAGTCCAACTTGAGTGTCCTCTCTTTTGAAAGGAGTCGTGTGCGCTCTATCTTGAGAGACAACATTCTTCCCGGTGGCGCATCTGGCAGGAGAGGGCGGTGCCTCTGAAGGGCCCTGGTCGAAGCACGGGTCACGGTCACCATGCCAACCCATGGGTATTAGTACATGCAGGCCATGCTGCTTTGTCCATTGAGGCTCTTTGCTGCGCTGATAGAAGGGTTGTGTGGACTGACCAGTCCTACGTAGACGCTCCCAAACCGTCTATAAACATTTATGGTTGGGGTCTGAACTGTCCACTGGATGTGATCGTCGTCCTGATTGCGACGTTAAAGAATTCCTGAGGACTCTCGGGGGCTGTCCTTAAATTGCCTCTTGATCAGCCTGATCAGTCAGACGTAAGGCTCGTTGCACGCGAGGGTAAATAAAAGGGCAGGCTGGTCATAACATACTTCTTGGGCACAGGGTTGGGCCGTGGTTGCACACCTTAGACACCGCAGCTTGATGATGCTCATAGGTACGTTGGATACAGGGGAAGGGGATTCCAATTGTGAACTCAACTGTACATCACTAAATTATCCATTGTGCATACATCTGCTCACTGTAGTTTATTTTTATCTTGATTAGTTGGTTGACTGACTACTAACACCTAACAGACAGCCTGGAGTAGGACTGTAATCTACCATAGTCAGTTCTTCTTAAAGCTTCTGTGCAGAACTAATCAAAGATAGAGGTAGACTACATGTGTACAATTTGTGTGGGTGTTGTTGATGCCGCTTGACTAGTAGTCTAGGTAACTCGCCGGACACCAATTATTTTATTTATTTTTAGAACCGGTCAGACGCATGCTGCGGTAGGTCCCAAAGAGGACATTAGTGCAGACAACATCTGCCTAGCCTGTGAGCGGATCAGAGGCTGGGGAGGATAGATTTGACGACAGGAGGCAGACACGACGGGATACCGGTAGGATACCCGTTGTGTTCCAGGTTCTACTACCAGGAGACGAGAAAAGGCTTAGGGCCGAGACAAGGGTCCGCAATCTAGAGACTGCGAGACAGGCACCAGCAGCGGCTGAACGCGCGTTACCAGCAGCAGCAGCTAGTGTGGTAGCAATGGCTACCTTGTCAGCCACTTCTGCTGCAAACTCAATTGGTCAAAGTCTGGGTATGCCACCCAACGCGACCAGTTCGCAGTCCATCTCAAGTATGTCAGGAGCTGGCACTAGTCAGATGGCAGATTCACAATTCAGCTCAACACCACCATGCACCCGGAAATAAATGGAGCTCCAACAAGTAGAGAGGATTCACTTAAGGCTAGAGGAGGAACTCAGACAAGCTACTAAAAGCGAGAAAGATATTAGAGATAGAAGTGTTAGACTAGAGGGTAGGGAGGCAAACAAGGTTGCACTAGAGGGGTTAGATGACTCGACTCTTAGCAATAATGAAACGATTATGAAGGCAAGCATCATGTCCATGTACGCATACATGGACAGCAACATGGATACCATCCAGGACACCTTAGACCAGATCCTAAATGCCATGCATAGGCCAGGAATCAGGCCGGCAGTCTTGCATTCGCTGCCATTCTCAGCGACGATAAGCCCCTATGCCGCTCAGTCCGGACCACCTCCAAGTGGTACATCAGCAGCGGCCCGATCTCATACTGTTGCTTCTTCATCGTCTGGTCCAGTGACTGGTGTTACACCACAGTCGTCACCTGTCTCGCCAACGGGACAACAATTTCCTTGGTATCCCAAGACCCCTCTGAAACCACCTCCAACCTTCTCAGGAGACAAGAAGGACGAGGCTCTCAACATGTGGTTGAGAACGGTTTCAGTGTGGGTGAGGGCAAAGAGGACATTGGTAGAGGAGGAAGTGATTACTGTTGCATCCTACTTAGAGGGTTCAACAACTCGCTGGCTAAATAGATTGGTAGCTTCAAAGGGGTTCGGCAGGAACATGGGTGATTCGGCGCAGACCCACACCCTAGAGAGCTTTATGGACTTAGTGGAAGCACGGTGGCACAATCCTCAGCAGGCACAGATTGCCACTGATGGATTATTAAAGCTTGATGCTAGGAAGTACAAGTCAGTGCGAGAGCTTACCACAACCGTAGAGCGCCTGATCGTTGTCCTAGGAGTGGAGTACAATCCACAGGTCTTGTTGACCACATTTTTGAGATGTCTTCCCACAAACATCAAGAACTTACTGGTCAGTGAGGCTCGTAGAGAGTATCACACCTTTGAGACATTCAACAAGAAGGCCCTAGACTTAGAGGCTACGCTGGGTAGTGCTCAAACCCCTTCTACGGACGGGAGAAAGAAGAAGACTCCACAAGAATGGAAGAAGAAGGATGATCGATTGATGATGGTTGATTTCGAAGGGAATCAAACTGAAATCGATGATGTTTCTGAACTTGTGGAGGGTTCAGAGTTAGACGGCGAGGAGAGTGCTGAGGGTAGCAACCTCGCCGCAGTAGTTAAAACTAAGGTAGCAGGCCGCGACAAGGGCGGTTAGCGAAGGAGTCAGGGGCACGCCGCTAACCCAAACAAAATAGCTGCTTGGGTTAGCGCAGGCTTGGATCAAGAAGTGTGGCGGGACCGTTGGTCACTTGGTGCTTGCATTAACTGCGGCGAGTACGTCCATACTTAGTTTAAGTGCAAGAACCCGAAGGTCTTGCAGAAGATCCCTACTAAGGGTGGGTTTCCTTCTTCTAAGTCCGGGGCCTCTTCAAGCTCCAACTCGGGGAAACACTTAGGGCCGATAGAAGATGTAGTTGCTTCTACTCTCGTTGAAGCGGGTGATGTACCCTCCCCGGTTCAAAAGTTGGCCAAAGCTATTGACTCCTTAGGCACCCCGAGACGCATCCGGACCCAACTATACTTTGTACGTTTGATGTGTCTGAAGCCTTAGAGGACCTTCAAGGTGAGTGGTCGGCAAGGGACCCTCGTGAGTCCTGGGTGGCACTGAGTAGAGGTCCTCGAGGGGAGCACTTCGTTGTGGAAGTTGGTGTGGGTGGTCGCAAGTGAGGCGCCTTCGTAGACATTGGCTCCACGCGAAACGTCATAAGTCGCGACTGCGTTGACAGACTGTGCCTAAAGGACCGGGTGTGGCGCCTTAGTAGACCGGTAGCATCTACTTTGGCCAACAAAGAGCGCATGATGGTGGAGGACTACGTTAAAGATGTAGTATGCACCTTCTCCTACCCAGGAGGAGAGATAAACCATAAGATATCATTCCTAGTGAGCGACGAGTTGCCTTTTGACATGTTATTGGGCATGTACTACCTCGAGGTTGGCAAGCCCCAGTTCGACTGGGACAAGAAGGTGTTGAAGCACGAGTTGCCTAATGGGAGGACCATTAGACTGGCCAAGTATAAAGCCAGTAGGTTAATAGATTCCTATGGGTGCTTATGCGCATCTGCCTCCTATAACTACTATAAACAGAACCAAGAGGAAGGAATGTACTTAGTCTATGTCCCTGCAAAAGGGGAGCCCGTTAAAACACCCCCAGAGATAGAGACAATCGTTGCTGAGTACCCTGATCTGTTCGAGGAGCCCTCAGGAGTCGTAGACAGGGAGGTTATCCATGCCATAGAGATTATCCCAGGTGGTAAGACACCTAAAGGGAGAATCTATAGGATGACTCCGACCGAGTTGGACGAGCTCCGTCGACAACTGAAAGAGCTCACAAAAAAGGGTTGGATTCGGCCTAGCGCTTCCCCCTTTGGCTCACCAGTTCTGTTTGTTCCAAAGAAAGGGGGAACACTAACGATGTGCATTGATTATAGAGGCCTCAATGCCATCATCGTTAAGAACGCAGAGCCTCTACCACGCATCGACGACCTATTGGATAGGGTGCAGGGATGTAAGTACTATACAAAGATAGACTTAAAGTCCGACTACCATCAGATTGCCATAAGACCAGAGGACCAGCACAAACCGGCATTTCAAACCAGGTACGGTCTGTACGAGTTTGTGGTGATGCCCTTTGGCCTTTGCAATGTGCCGGGTACATTCCAACACGCCATGAATAGGATCTTTCATGACTACTTAGATAAGTTCGTTGTCGTGTACCTCGACGATATACTTATCTTTAGTAGAACTGTCGAGGAGCATGCTCAACATGTAGACAAAGTACTTTCACTCCTCCGGCAGCACAAGTATAAGATAAATGCAGAGAAATGCGAGTTCGGTCGCACTCGAATCTTGTACAATGGGTCATGAAGTATCCGCGGACGGGATTAGGCCCGAAGATGCGAAGGTGGCTAGCATTAGGGACTGGCCACGACCCCAGTTTGTTACTGAGGTCAGATCATTCTTGGGAATGTGTGGTTATTACTGCAACTTCGTAAAGAACTATAGCACAATCGCATCTCCCTTGACTAATATAACTCGACTTGACACACCATGGGACTGGACCGACGAGTGTGAGGCAGCTTTCAAACGTTTGAAGCATGCTCTCATGCATCATGAGGTTCTCATGGTACCAGACCCGCAAAGGCCATTTGTTGTAATCACTGACGCAAGCCAATACGACATTGGCGCAGTGTTGGCTCAACAGGAAGGGAAAAAGTTGAGACCGGTCGAGTATATGAGCAAAGATGTCATCAAAGAAGTTGGCAAAGTCCACCTACGAGAGGGAACTCTACGCTCTCTACAAGGCACTTGTCCACTGGAGGCACTATCTATTAGGAAGGTTCTTCTATTTGAGAACTGACCATCAGACCCTCAAGTGCATCAAGACACAACCGGTTCTCTCCGATGCACTCAAACGTTGGATTGAAGTCATAGATCAGTGTGACTTCAAACTAGACTATGTGAAGGGAGAGTACAACAAGGTTGCAAATGTGTTGTCTAGAACGGCAGATTACCTGGGTGCTCTGATTTCTGAGTTTGGCCTATCTGAGGACGTGACTCGATCTTTGGAGGAAGCCTACAAGGAAGATCCCATCACGATGGACATCATCAACAAACTACAGGCCAAAGACAAGGCTACCACTTACAAGTTTGTGATGGTGGATGGATTACTCTTTCTTGGAAAGGCAGGGTACAAAAGGTTAGTTGTTCCATCTAGGGAAATTTTGCGTAGTTTATTTTTAGGTGAGTGCCACGACGCAACGAGACATTTCGGCTACAAGAAGACTAGTGCTAACTTAGTACAGCGATTTTGGTGGCCTTACATGCTGGACGATGCAAAGCAGTACGTATAGACCTGTTAGGTCTGTCAGCGGGATAAGCCGCGGACTCAAGCTCCGCTTGGGCTCCGGAAACCTCTACCCATTCCTACTGGCCGAGGGCAGAGTATCTCCATGGACTTCATGGATACTCTCGTGACCAGCAAAAATGGCAAGAGGCACATCTTCGTCATAGTTGATAGGTTCACTAAGTATGCTAGACTAATTGCCATGCCGGAGACTGCCAGGACTGAACATGTCATCAAGTTATTCATGGATAGCTGGGTGCGTGATTTTGGACTGCCAAAGACAATCGTTAGTGATAGAGATGTACGATTCACAAGCGAGATGTGGAAGAAGGCCGCTGAACAGATGGGCAGCCAGCTGCAGATGACTTCTGGGAATCATCCCGAAGCAAATGGGCGGGCTGAACAGATGAACCGTGTGGTGCAGCATCTGCTCATGCATTACATTAAGCCCAGCAAGGACGATTGGGATGAGAAATTACCTCTCATCGCCAGTCTGTACAACAATGTTGTACACAGCACCACCGGCGTCAATCCTAATCAACTGCATCTGGGATGGAAGCCTATATCTGCTCTAGACTTCCTCCTGCCTGAAAACCGAACTGCTGCAACTCTTGGAACCATTGAATTTGGTGTCCAGTATGAGAAACTGTTGCAGCAGACCGTCGAACACATCAAGAAATCTCTGGAAGCCATGATTGCTTCTGAGAACAAGCGTCGYCGACAGTCCACATTTCAGGTAGGGGAACATGTCTGGGTCAAGGGTAGTGAGTTGGGACAGGAGTTTGGCATCTCTAGGAAACTAATGCCTCAGTATTTCGGTCACTGGGAAGTCTTAGACATTGTGGGGAATGATTTGAATGGTCCCTAGTACGTCATTCGTATCCCTGGTCACTTACGCACTTACCCTGTTTTTCACACCTCCAAGCTTGCACCTTTCGCTGAGACAACACAGTTCCCATCACGGAGATCTATGCTGCCCCCAACCATGGATGGCCACGTGGACGTCGACGACATCCTGGATCACAAAGACACGCCTGTTCCCAAGCCACCTGGCAGGGGAAGACCTCCCAAACCTGCGAGGGAATACAGATTACATTTCAGGCATCATACCGATCCGAAGGAAGATCGGTGGATTTCAAGGGAGGAACTTGTCAAGACAACTCTTCAGATCGTGGCAGATTATGAGAAGGAACTGAAGGGGAAGGCACCAGCATGAAGCATCTCAGCGGACTTTCGAAGCTAAGGGGGATGGAATGTGAGGAACAAGCCCTCAAGGGCCCCTATCAGACATCACATCGTTCTGGGCTAAGGCTCCCAGCAAGCCAAGTGCCCGCCCTAAGTGAAGGCGGGCCTGAATATTCATCAAAGGCAAAATTCGACATTTCCATATGTGGGTATTCAGGCTCTCGCAGCATGCCAGTTGGTTGGGAAGTCGCGTGAGCCTCACATTGCTGCGTCATACAGTTGGCCCAGGCCTTGACAGTTGCGCTTGGGCACACATACACAAAGCAGGGCTGATACACTGGGAAGCAGGCTTTCGGCCTTTGCAAAATCAGTAGTGTCGACGCACCTGCCTGGGAGCCCTGCACAGATGCAGCAAACAGCCCAAGTCCGGAGACTCAGGCCGTGCCTAACTGCAAAGGGCCCAGGCCCTCAACTGTAGTCTCGGGCCTGGGCGCAGGGTCTGGGACCCAACTGGAAGCTACAGGAAGCTTCCAGCCAGGCCACACGCACCATCCAGGAGGCTGCCACTTCCACAAAAGGAGTGAGGCCAGTGCTGGCAATGCGGAAGTGTTGCTGCACTCTCCCTTGATGCTGCGCTGTTGCCAAGGGCGCTGACGGGGCGCGTAGAGGTGAAGTGGGGCGCTGCAGGGCAGCGGGGCGCAGGCGGCCATAGCCGGGCTGCTGGGCGCCAGGGGGTAATGCGGGTGATTGAGTGGTCTTCAGGGCAGGAGGGGAGTGTGGGGTAATCAAGGTCTGATTGAGGGTGACGAGATACGTACCTGGTACATGAAGAGAGGTCGGTGATGGTGTTGGCAGTCATGTACATTGGTCTTCGTGAGTCGAAATGATCCTGTTGCGTGAACCAGCTGTAGGTAGGATAGTCAGGTAGAGTAGGCTGGGCGCTGAGCGCCAGACAGAGCAGAGCGACTTTGGATACTGTGTTGGTGTGGCCTACGGGCTTGAACATTGGCTCATGACTTCATTGTATTGCTCTATATGGATGGTTTTCTCGGTGCATTTGTACTCTCTGCTGGGGACTCGACTACTTGGACAGCTGTGTGATTTCGCAATTTGGTTTTTTGTATATCGCTCACACTCATATTCCTTGCATCTGTCTTTTGCCTTCTCTTAAACCCTGAACCCCAGACTACTCGGGTCGTCTGTTTTGTGCAGATTGTGTTTTTTTTTTTTCATTTTATTATTTATTTATTTATTTATTTATTTATAAAAGCTACGCCCGTAAGGTTCCTAGAGGGTTTTGCCCTTTCATAGCTGATTTTCATGGAAATACTAGAAAGGTGAGGTTTATTTTTGGTTAACTCGGCAATTGGGGTGGAAGTGTTGTGCTGTGTTTCCTTTGGTTGAAGTGGCTTCGGCCGTGCTTCCCCCATTATTTTCTCTTGTCTAGTTGGCTATTCGGGGCTCTGTGTTTCCTCTCTGCTAATTTTTTGTTCTCTATGGAACTCTTGTTAAGTCTTATCCGTGTTTTCTTAGTTGGTTCTTATGGACATACCAGTAAGGTGGGATCTACTTTTGGGCAGTTCAGTGATTTGTGCTGGAGGTAACGTGTTGTGTCTCCATTGGGTAAAGTGGATTGGGCCGCTAGATATTGAAGCTATTTTCCCTTCTCCCAGGACTTGTTTCATAAAGGCCTCTGTAATTTTATCCTTGTTTTGAATGTTTTCTATATTTTCTGATATCTTCCTGCTAGTCCTCCTCCAACATCCTCTGTAGTCCACTTCTATTATCTGTAGTATCCCTTCCCACCCTTCCTGTGGCATCTTTGGTGATTGATCTATTGTTTCTTGGCATCTGCACTTCCATATCATCCAAAGCGACACTCTTCTGAGTATGTGCCATGTGGTAGAATGTTATCTCATAGCCCTGCCAATTGGGGAGTGTGTGTAGCCCCAGCAGAAGTACGACTGGGTCCGAGGGAAGAGGCTTGCCTGATATCCTTTGCCATAAAGCAGTTGCTTTGGCCCAGAGCTGTTTGGCTTTATGACAACTCAGGAGGCAGTGCTCCACGTCTTCTACCCTACCCTCCTGACAGATTGCGCAGAGTTCCTTTAGGGGTGAGCGTGAAAGTAAGTTGCGTCTATTGTTTAGCCATTTATTTACCGACAATGCTAGGTGTGCCACTAGCCATTGAAAGCTTCTTATTTTGGTGGATGTGCTGGCATTAATATGGTTCCATGAAACAACTCTTGTGTGTTCTCTTGGCTGGTTGAATTGGGTTTTCCATCTTTGGCTAATTATTTGAGTTAAGGGGGAGGATCTCATTCTTAGTGTGTAGCCTAACTTTGTGGTGTATTCTAGTATGTCAATTCTTTTCTCGATATTAAGTCTCCCTGTTCTTAGCTTCCATGCCCACTCTGCTGGATCTAGTTCTAGGTCTGCTATATTGGTTTGGGGGCTGTAGATCCGACGCTCTCCGGTCTCCACTACTGTTACTTTCCGTAGAGTGTGTTCTAGTAGGGTTACCTCTCCTGTAGGATTAGTGAGCAAGAGACTTGTCGTTGCTCCTAGATTTTCCACGGTGTAAATGTCGCAGGTTAGCTAGTTGTGCCTAGGGCCTTCTCTAGTGCGGAAGAGGTAGACCTCATAGGGGGGGTTATCTGTCTTTCTTGTTGCCCATTCCCCTGGGTTCCAGCCGACTGAACCTTTTAGTAACTCTGACCATCTTTCCTGAATTGATTTTATGATCCTATTCAGGTTTTCTTGCGAATTGTGACAGCCCTTTATGGAGCTTCTTAATTCTTCGACTGTTTTCCACCTTCTTTCCTCGTTCTGCCAGAGGTGCTTGATCTGCCATACTCCTTTTTCGAGCCAGGAGCCCCATTTAGCATCTTTTGCTGTTAGTGTCCACGGTTTGCCTTGTGGGTCTAGCAACCCTTGGCTGCAGAAAAGTGGTTGCCTTAGGACCTCTTCTTTGATTGTCTGTTCCCTTACTTCGGCCGGTAAGATTTCTCTCCATGTTTTCATAAGTTGGTGCCAGAAGTCCTCCTTTTGGTCGTTCTCCTGACCTTCTCGCTGGGTCTCTCTGGGAGTGCCCTTCATTGCCCAAGATTTGGTCATGATCCAGAATAACCCTCTCATATTGTCAGGGGTTTTGAGTTTGACTAGGTTTTTTATTCTTCGTAGGCCCAGTTCGTTCCATGGAAGGTTGTGGTCAGTTATTAGTTTGAGGATCCATTTGGATTGTAGCGTTTTGATCTGTGTCTCAGGGTCGAGGATCCCCAACCCGCCTTGTGATTTTTTCATAATGACGTATTTCCATGCTACCTTGGAGATGAAGTGGGCTTTGGAGGGATCTGCAGACTAGAGGTAGGCTGCAACTCTCCTTCTGAGTTGGGTTTTCAGATGTTTAGTGGGCGGCCAAATTGTTGATGCGTACCATAACATTGAGAAGATCGATGCCTTGAGGATGAGAGCTGTTCCAAATATGGAGGTATAGATACTGGACCAGCTTCCTAATTTGGCTATCATTTTGTTCATTATTGTCGGGGCCATGGCGTGGTTGGGTCCTATTTTGGATACATGGATTCCCAGAAATCTCAATGGCTCGTTACCTCGAGACCAGTTCATTTCTTCCGGGGTGCTTCGCGGAGTATCCGTTTGATCATCCGTGAGCCACCAACCGATTGTTTTTGGCCAATTTATTTTCATTTTTGATGCTGTTTGGAATGCTTGCATTGCTCGTGTCAGAGGTTGGAAGGATGAGTCTGAAGCACGTATAAGAACTGTCCGGTCATCTACAAAGAGGATGGTGGTGGGTAGGTTGATTGGATGACGTCCGTCTTCTACTAGCCTGTCCGTTGAGGGGTCTTTCCTTAAGAATGAGGCAATGGCTTCCATAATAAAGAGGAAGATGATGGCAGCTAATGGATCTCCTTGTCTTACGGAGCGTGACATGTTATACAGTAGCGAGATGTGACCGTTGACTTGTACCCTTCCTTGTGCGTCTGAGTAGAGGATCCGAATCCATTTTCCGAAGTTCGGACGCACTCTCATTTTCTCCATGCTCTGTTGTAGGAAATTCCAATTTACTTGATCGTAGGCTTTCTCGAAATCGAAGAAGAGAATAGCTGCGTTCATTCTTTTGTCGTGTATGTATCTAACTGATTCGTTGAGAGTCATTACGTTATCTAGAATGAATCTCCCGGGGATAAAACCTGTTTGATCTAAGTGAAAGCAGTTTCTTGTTAGTGCCCTTATTCTATTGGTCAGTAGCTTTGCAAGGATCTTGTAAGTTTCTGTGAGCAACGAGATGGGTCTGTAATTTTTTATATCTGTTGGGTCTCCCTTTTTGTATAGTAAGGATACTATCCCTGTACTCTGAAGCTTTTTTATATCTGTTGGGTCTCCCTTTTTGTATAGTAAGGATACTATCCTTGTACTCTGAAGCTACGTAACACCGTGTTCGCGTTTGGAGGCGAACATGAACAAGCGCCCAAAACCCTCCGAACACGAACATAAAAAATATTAAAAATAAAGTAAAATAAGTTCTCAGAAAAATCTGAAAAAACGATATGTTATGTAAAATAATAGTACAAGCAACTTTTGCCTCGGAGTAATGTTCAAATTCGTAGCCAATCATTGGTTAAAAATCAAAAACCAATTTTTTTATTTTTTATTTTTTTTTGCGAAAAAAAAATGTTCGCCTGAAAATGTTCGCGAGTTGTTCGCGTGAATGCGCGAACACGTTCGCGC